AGTTTAAGGACCGCAGTGGGAGAGAGTTTCCTCATTGGCAGAATATTGGCCTCTGCATGAGCAGCCTTCATTTCACCCCTGGATGCCCTTACTATGCCCACACTGGCCCTAAAGCTGGGTTCACGCTGAATGAGAATGGAAGTATTTGCATGAGTAAATGAGAAACAAAGCCAATGCAAATGCGGGAGTACAGTTCCAGCAGACAATGATGTGGAATGCGTGACGTATTTGCCATGAACACACTGAGTTCGCCTCAGTCCCGTCTTCCACAGAACCTAACCCCCTGAACCCCCCTGTGCCCACAGAGAGGCAGCAGGAGCATGTGTTCAGGGCTGTCTCTCTCTGTCATGAAGCTCTTTCCTCCTGTCCTCCAGTCCACACACTGACTGGCTGAAGAGTTTCTGATGACAGCTTCCGGACCACATCTGACTCTGGGTGCAGAGTTTAGCGTCTCCCCGAGACATCTGCTGTGTTGATTTGTAAACACCCCGCTGATAACGGCAGATTCTGCTTTCCTTTGGCTGCGGTTGCAGAGCTGAAGATCCTCTGAGAGATGGTGTGTGTGTGTGTGTGTGTGTCAGCGGAGGGCTGGGCTGAGTGGGGGAGGTGTGTGTGTGTGTGTGTGTGCGTACAGAAACGCATGTGCTCTGCAGGAAGTGATGAAGTCACCCACTCGGAGAGAGACGGAGGGCGTGACACAGGGTTTCTGGGATGAGCTCAGTGCTGGGTTTGTGTGTGTGTGGGTCGAGTGTCGACACGGCGGTGTTGTGTTGTTATTCTGCGTTCGCTAGAATGATCCGCACGCTGTAGCTGGTGGTCATGATCGGGGATGTGTTTCACTGGGGCTTCTGCTGTCTCAAACTCTGGAGGAGGGAGAGGAAGGTAAGCTGAGAATGCTGCAGTGTCATCTCTTCTGCCGGCAGCACATGTCTGAAAGATGGAGCACAGTTCCTCCATCTTCACCTCCGCTGCTCAGCTGGACACGCATGTGGAGGATATTAGCATGTCGTAGTCATGTTAACGCATGCGTTTAGACGCAGCTCTGCCATTCTGACTGAAGTTCAGGGATTTCTGAAGCGTGAATACAGACGGCATGACCCGATTATTCTGCTGTGTGTGTGACTTGATCTAACTGGACCACTGGATCTAAACACTCCTAAATCAGTCAGAACTTTCCAGACAAGCTAAACGTACTGTGCCAGAAACAATGAGTCAAATGAAGTGAGGTAAACTAAGCTGAATAATCTGCCCACCTGATTTTGCTCTGTAATGATGTGATCTTTGGCAGATTATTGAGCTTGTTTTAGGGTGAAACTCGCCTCATTTTGACTTGTTATATTTAAAAACAGGACAATATTTACACTGGGTTGAAAACTCTTGTTGATTGAAGTCATTTCAGATATTTGGACTCAGTGTTTTCTGCGGTGTGGTCGCTGTCATTAGCATCGCCTGTTCTCTGTGAGATTATTCTGCATCTTCTGGCGTGGTGTGGCATGGGGCATCCTCGACTGGTTAAGTGGGTCATGTGGAGAGTTTGTGTGTCACTGATGTCTGAGCGTATCCCTGTCTACAGCTGCTGATGCTGCACTAACAGCGCAGACACACACACACACACACATGCGCTGACATGGAAATGTGGGACAGTGCTCATCCTCATACTTTCTTCTAGAAAAATCTCTCAAATCAGTTTTGTCTGTAAAGCGGGTTAACAGAAGAGTTAAATAGATGCTGTAAGAGCCGGCGGCGCTGTACAGGTCTGTCTACAGGAACACTAATGCTCTTCATCTTCACACACAGATGAAGATATTTTACAGTAAATCTGAAAACTCCCTCATCCTCCATAGACAGCAAGAGTCCCGAGACACTGGAGCATCTCAGCAGCTCTCAGATTTACTCTAAAACATCTTCATTTGTGTCTGAAGATGAATCAAGCTGTTGGGTGAACTGACCCTTTAATGAGCTCCGGTCTGTTTAACAGTTTGATCTGCCTGAGGTCAAGTGCAGTGTTCACAGCTGTGTGCAGTTCATTAAACACACTGGACACATATATATGCCTGCAGGACAGAGCGGACATTCACTCATGACTCTGACTGCGCTCCAGATGATCAAGCTCAGTGTTATTCCAGTGTTACACCAGTGTAATTCCAGTGTTATACCAGTGTAATTCCAGTGTTATACCAGTGTAATTCCAGTGTTACACCAGTGTAATTCCAGTGTTATACCAGTGTTATACCAGTGTAATTCCAGTGTTATTCCAGTGTTATACCAACGTTATTCCAGTGTAATTCCAGTGTTATATCAGTGTTATACCAGTGTAATTCCAGTGTTATTCCAGTGTTATACCAACGTTATTCCAGTGTAATTCCAGTGTTATATCAGTGTTATACCAGTGTAATTCCAGTGTTATTCCAGTGTTATACCAGTGTAATTCCAGTGTTATTCCAGTGTTATACCAACGTTATTCCAGTGTAATTCCAGTGTTATATCAGTGTTATACCAGTGTAATTCCAGTGTTATTCCAGTGTTATACCAGTGTAATTCCAGTGTTATTCCAGTGTTATACCAACGTTATTCCAGTGTAATTCCAGTGTTATATCAGTGTTATACCAGTGTAATTCCAGTGTTACACCAGTGTTATACCAGTGTAATTCCAGTGTTATTCCAGTGTTATACCAACGTTATTCCAGTGTAATTCCAGTGTTATATCAGTGTTATACCAGTGTAATTCCAGTGTTACACCAGTGTTATACCAGTGTAATTCCAGTGTTATACCAACGTTATTCCAGTGTAATTCCAGTGTTATATCAGTGTTATACCAGTGTAATTCCAGTGTAATTCCAGTGTTATATCAGTGTTATACCATTGTAATTCCAGTGTTATACCAGTGTTATACCAGTGTTATTCCAGTGTTATTCCAGTGTTATACCAACGTTATTCCAGTGTTATACCAGTGTAATTCCAGTGTTATATCAGTGTTATACCAGTGTAATTCCAGTGTAATTCCAGTGTTATATCAGTGTTATACCAGTGTAATTCCAGTGTTATACCAGTGTTATACCAGTGTAATTCCAGTGTTATACCAGTGTTATACCAGTGTTATTCCAGTGTTATACCAACGTTATTCCAGTGTTATACCAGTGTAATTCCAGTGTTATACCAGTGTTATACCAGTGTTATTCCAGTGTTATACCAATGTTATTCCAGTGTTATTCCAGTGTTATTTCAGTGTTAATCCAGTGTTATACCAGTGTAATTCCAGTGTTATTCTAGCGTTATTTCAGTGTTATTCTAGTGTTATTTCAGTGTTATTCTAGTGTTATTTCAGTGTTATTCTAGTGTTATTTCAGTGTTATTCTAGGGTTCTGTTTTCAGTGTTATTCTAGTGTTATTTCAGTGTTATTGCAGTGTTATTTCAGTGTTGTTCTAGTGTTATTTCAGTGTTATTTAAGTGTTATTTCAGTGTTGTTCTAGTGTTATTTCAGTGTTAAAACGGTATGGACTGTTAGAGGTACTATTATCAGAGGTAGAGTCTGAATGCAATATCATCTGATTTGAAGCTGTCTGGAACACATTATTTTTGTGTCAGTGAGTGTGAATGCTGGTGTATGCACAGACCCCGGCTCTCAGACTCACATTCATTATTGAAACTGTGCTGTTGAGCTGATGGACAGCTGGCAGAAGGACGCGAGTGTGACTAGAAGCTGGTGAATTCCACTCTTTCACTTGTTTAAATGTCTATGTTGAAATCATTCATCAGACCAGTTGTTTCCAAACACACATTTACATGCGCAAACTTGCATCGACTGCTTGCTTTTGGTTGTTCATCTCTAATAGTTTAAGGATGTTTATTGTAGACATTTGACTGATCCAGATTCTGTATCCAGCTCCGGTGTTCGCTGTGACTGTAATCTTCATCATTGTTTTCTGTGTGAAAGTGAAACCTCTGTCTCCTTGAGACTCCCCCCAGACATCTCACGTCTGATCTCATCCACCCTGGAGACTTTTAGAAACTTTCCAGACCTGTTTCTCAAACGAGAGCTCTGCTGATTTCCCAATAGTAATATGTGTAATGTTATTTCCCTAAAAACATTCTGCTGTGTTTATCATGATATCTGCAAACATGTAGAGTTCACTGATAGTGTCATATGTAAATGAGGGAGTTTACATTAAAATACATCTACAGAAAGAAAAGCAGGTGAAGTATGACGTGTGTGTGTGTGTGTGTGTGTGTGTGTGTGTGTGTGTGTGGCTGTGTTGTCCTGCCTCCACTGGAAACGGTTGCAGTAGATTCAGAGTTTTGTCATGTGGGGGAGTGTGTATTATTTCGAGATGCGGTCGGGGTGTGTGTTGGTGGTCTGTCAGCTCTCTGTTCCGGCTTGGTTGAGTTTTTGTCAGGCAGACACTGAGATGAGGAAGCTGTGACCTCACCACACGATCATCATTTTCCCTCTTCTAAAAGTGTCTTTCACACATGAGCTAAACTGTACGTCGAAGATCATATCATCACATTTAGATGAAAATAAGCAAATGCTGTTCTTACTCAGAGTTTCTGTCTGGGTTTTAGTCCAAATAACTAAAAACTCTTAAATGAAGAAACATTTTGTAGACAAGAAACACATATAGTGCTGTGTTCAGAGATAATGAGTCAAAATGAAGAGAGTTTCTCCTCAAAACAAGCAGGATAATCTGACAATGAGGGAAGCAGAAATAATCATATGTCAACAGGAAAAATAACAATATTCTGCTTCAGTTAGTCTGAAAGGGTCAGTTTCAGAGAGCTGGAGAAGATTATCAGTGTGCTGTTCTCAGCTCAAACACACACACACACTCTAGACACAGCAGAGACAGCTTGTGTAAAGGGTCACGTAATAGGTCGCCTTTAAAAACTGCACACTTGTTTGGTTTAGTATCTCACAAGCTAAAAAACACGAGGACGCACTGATCTAGACTGATCTCTGTGCGTCTGATGTTAGCTGATCTCAGAGTTTGTGTGTTTGCAGGTCGCTGGAGAGCAGAAGTATCACCCAGAGTGCTTCAGCTGTCTGAGCTGTGGAGCGTTCATCGGTGACGGAGACACGTACGCTCTGGTGGAGAGATCCAAACTGTACTGGTGAGACACACAAGATACCCTTTCATATCACAACATGCACATCTGCAATCATCACATCACAGGACATGCATGATGAGTCAGTGTTATACAGTGCATGCCGAAACTATTGATAGCGCTTGACTTTTTCCACATTTCTGTATGTTACAGTCTTATTCCAAAATGGAGTAAATTAATTTATTTCCTCAGCATGTACATCAGTGTTCTCAGCGTTTACTCAATACTCTGTTGATGCTACTTTGGCAGTGATTACAGCCTCAAGTCTTTCTGAATATGATGCACAGGCTCTGCACGTCTGTCTTTGGGGATGTTTGCCCGTTCCTCTTTGCAGGACCTCTCCAGCTCTCTCAGGTTGGATGGGAAGTGACGGTGTGCAGCCATTTTCAGATCTCTCCAGAGATGTTCAATAGGATTTAGATCTGGGCTCTGGTTGGGCCACTCAAGGACATTCCCCGAGTTGTTGTTGTGCCGCTGCATTGATATGTTGGCGGTGTGCTTTGGGTCATTGTCCTGCTGGAAGATGAAGCGTCGCCCCAGTCTGAGGTGGAGAGCACTCTTGTGCAGGTCTTCATTCAGGATGTCTCTGTACATCGCTGCATTCATCTTTCCCTCTATCCTGACTAGTCTTCCAGTTCCTGCTGCTGAAACACATCCCCACAGCATGATGCCAACACCACCATGCTGCACTGTAGGGATGCTGTTAGCCTGCTGATGAGCGCCGCCTGCTGTTCTCCTCACGTAACGCCTGGCGTTCACTCCAAACAGTTCAGTTTGAGTCTCATCAGAGCAGAGAGTTTAGTTTCTGATGTTCTGAGAGTCCTTCAGATGGTAAACTCCAGACGGGGAGTGTCTTCCGTCTGCCCGCTCTACCATACAGATGCCTGATTGGTGGATTGCTGCACAGATGGTTGTCCTTCTGTAAGGTTCTCCTCTCTCCACAGAAGACTGCTGGAGCTCAGACAGAGTGACAATCGGGTTATTGATCACCTGACTGAGGCTCTTCTGCCCCGATCACTCAGCTTAGATGGCCGGCCAGCTCTAGGAAGAGTCCTGCTGGTTAAACATCTTCCACTTAGGATGATGGATACCGCTGTGCTCACTGGAGCTTTCAGAGCAGCAGAAATGTTTCTGTCACCTTCCCCAGCTTCCTGCCTCCAGACAATCCTGTCCAGGAGGTCTACAGACAGTTCCTTTGTCTTCATGCTTGGTTTGTGCTTTGTCATGCACTGTCAACCCTGGGCCCTTATATAGACAGGTGTAGCCTTTTCAGATCATGTCCATCAGCTGAATTAAGCACAGCTGAACTCCAATGAAGCTGCTGAGACATCTCCAGAATGATCAGAGGAAGCAGAATTAACCTTGCTTCACACCAAACGCTGTCAATACTGATGTAAATCTGATTTATCCGCTCTTTATATTTTGTAATAAGTTTGCAACAATTTCACAAACTCTGTGTTCACATTGTCATTATGGAGGATTGTGTGTAGAATGTTGAGGAAATGAAAGAATTTACTCCATTTTGGAATAAGGCTGTAACATAAACACATGTGGAAAAGGGAAGCACGATCAACACTCTCCTGATGCTCTGTATCTGACAAGGAGGCACAGTGGAGTCACTGCAGAGTTGACCCACAATACAGCGATGGTTTGAGCTTTGAGTTAAGCCACAAGAAACTTTACTACAATTAGTAACTCAATAAAAAAAGATCATTTCATTCATTCATTCATTCATTTTCAGCTTAGTCCCTTTATTAATCTGGGGTCAACACAGCGGAATGAACCGCCCAAAAAAAGATCAATAAACTGAATTATTAACACAGTCAAGACTGCAGTGTTGTTTCACTTCTGATTATTGAGTTTCTGTAGCCGAGTACTGTTAGAGCCCCCTGGAAACACACAGCACTGTTCACTCTTATCTTCAGTCTGCGGTGTTCATCTGAACTCTTGATTCAGAATCATCTCCATCAGTCAGAGTTAACACATCGAGGATGTGCATATCACAATATCTATTGCAGAAACAGCTGCACATGCTCACTATCCTCCAGACCGACCAGCCAGTCGATGCTCTTTACACAAGAAACAGAATCTAATCCAGAGATGGACGGCTCATTAATGTGTAGTGTTGTGTGGGTGTGATGCTGCTCTGCGGGAGACTGAGATGTGCCTCTTCATCACCTAAAGGATTGTTCATGTGCTCAATAGCACACAGTGTTTCAGTGGTGTGTTCACCAAGCAGAATGCAGTTTTGATCATGTCATTATTTGTAGTTAAGTTCAGCCGTCATCAGTCATGCTCATGTCAGCGGTCAGCTTGATGTATGTGAGTCACAACGGCTTATGAATGAGTCAGTAAGAGTCCTGTGAATGCTGTTGTCAAGGTCAAGTGTGTTTATACAGCAGCTGAAAGATCAAGAGCTGACCACAGTGATGCACAGCCACAGTATAAACTCCCAACACATCCCAATACTATACACTGGAAACATCCAATGATGCAGGCAAACATTTACTAAAGCGTATGAACTAACAGAACAGCAGCAGTGTGGTGGTGTTTACCAGCGTGTTTCCTGCCCGCTCGTACATGTGTGATGTGTTTATAGGCTTCACTTATTATCTGATGTATGAAGAGCTGTGCTGATGCTGTATACTGATTGTTGGTCTGTGGTAAATGTGTATAATGACATGCGTTTGACCAAGTGGTACTGTTCATGAGGACGTGCCTTGTGTTCTGATAATTAAAAACTGTTTAAAATCACACTCAATCAGGCGTTTGGCATTGATAATCATCCACATGTGTGTGTGTGTGAGGGTGGGCTCAGGGGTAGGGTTGAGGAAGGAGCTTATAATAAGTGTTTTTACAGTATAAAATACATTACACTGATGGAGAGTCCTCATAAATCACTAATACCAACATGTGTGTGTGTCTCCCTCCAGTGGCCACTGTTATTACCGCAGCATCGTGACTCCGGTCAGCCTGCCCGACTCGCCCTGCTCCAGGATTCCTCACACCGTCACACTCGTCTCCATTCCTGCATCCACCGACGGCAAGAGAGGATTCTCCGTGTCCATCGATCAGGCCTCCAGTCCCAACGGATACAGCCCTGAACACAAACGCACCGTCAGAGTCTCACAGTGAGTGTGTGTCCCGCAAACACACTCCAGGACACATCTGAAGAGTAGACTACTGACAGAAGTGAAGACTCAGCACTTCATCATGTGTCATCTTCAGCTGATGTAGCTTCATCACTGAGAAACACAAACTGTTTACATAAATGCCCTGATGATCTAAAAGCTCACCTGAAATCAGACATTATCAGGACATTATCAGACCACATACATTATCAGGACATTATTAAACCCCAGACATTATCAGAACATTATCAGACCCTATACATTATCAGGACATTATCAGACCCTATACATTATCAGGACATTATCAGACCCTATACATTATCAGGGCATTATCAGACACCAGACATTATCAGGACATTATTAAACCCCAGACATTATCAGGACATTATCAGACCCTATACATTATCAGGACATTATCAAACCCCAGACATTATCAGGACATTATGAAACCCCAGACATTATCAGGACATTATCAGACCCCATACATTATCAGGACATTATTAAACCCCAGACATTATCAGGACATTATCAGACCCTATACATTATCAGGACATTATCAGACCCCAGACATTACCAGAGTATTATCTGACCACATACATTATCAGGGCATTATCAGACCCCAGACATTATCAAAACCCAGACATTATCAGACCCCATGCATTATCAGGAATATTCAGAGTTTAGGAGCCATATATGTGAAGGCTTGACCACCTTTAGTGGACTTTTTTATTCTGGGTACTATCGCAAGCCCTAAGTCAGGAGATCCTAAAGTTACTAAGTTAATTAATTATGCTGCTGCATTGTGCTGGTGTTGCTAACACGTCACATTTTAGAGTTGATGCTGCTAGTTTCTAAGGTTTGTATGTGTGTGTGTGTGTGTGTGTGTGTGTGTGTGTGTGTGTGTGTGTGTGTGTGTGTGTTCAGGGTGTACCCAGACTGCATCAGTCCGGATGTCAAGAACTCTATTCATGTTGGCGATCGCATCCTGGAGATCAATGGAACGCCAATCCAGAACGTTCCTCTGGACGAGGTGAACAACCCTGCTTACCTACACACACCTTCTCCATTAGTACAGTATAGAGTGCATCAGGAAAACATTCACTGCTCTTCACTGTTTACTTGTCTATGTTACGTTACAGTCTTACTCCAAGATTTAGTTCATTATCTCCTCAAAATCCTGCAAACAAAATCACAAGAAGACATCTTGGGAAAACTGTTTAAAATCTTTGTGCATCTGTTAAAAATTAAGACTGAAAATATTGCTTGTGCAGGAGTATTGACAGCCTTTGCTCAGTACTGTGTTGAAGCTCCGCTTACAGCCTCCAGTGTTTGAGCATTGAGCAGTGTCTGCTCTTCTCCACCTCAGTTCCTCTGGAGCTCCATCAGGCTCTCGTGATGTTCAGCAGGGTTTAGGTTCGGTCACTCCACACAACGACACAAGTCTGGGAGAAATTAAGAAAGTTCCAGACCATTGTAGATCTTAAAGTCTGTAAATATGTTTCCCAATAATGTTTGACATGTGTGTGAGTGTCAATGGTGGACCTCTCTGTCCAGATAAATACAAAATAAAGTTGCTTCAGATCTGCCTGATGCTGGGAGGAAGCGCCCATGTTTCCTAATCTGTCATTGCTGTGTGCATGTGTGTGTGTGTGTGTGTGTGTGTCAGATCGATCTGCTGATCCAGGAGACCAGTCGTCTGCTGCAGTTGACCATAGAGCACGATCCCCATGATCAGGGCCCGTCTGTGGATCATGTGGATGGGGGTCCGTCACCTTCTGGAGGCCCGAGCCCCATCACACGTCCACCCAGCCAGGATATCAGCAACCTGCGCTCTCGCATCATTACGTCAGTGCCATTCTGCATCTCTGAGTGTTATTCTGGAGCTCTGTGGGTCAGCTGATCAGTGTGTGTGTGTGTGTGTGTGTGTGCAGGCGCAGCTACAGCATCGACAAGTCCCCAAGCTCCAGCAGTGCTCCGTCTCCTCTGTCTCTGAGGAAGGACATCGGCCGCTCTGAGTCTCTGCGCGGGGTCTCCAACCGCACACACCGCATATTCAGAGCCTCCGACCTGATCCATGGAGAGGTGCTGGGCACAGGCTGCTTCGGACAAGCCATCAAGGTCAGCACACAAACACATACGCACACACACACACACGTCTTCATGGATGAGTGTGTCTGTTTGACTCTTATATTCATTCATTGGTTTTCTGACACTTATCTGGGGCTGGGTTGTGGGGACACTCACTCATCTCAGCAGGAACCCCAGATTTCCTCTCTTCAACTCAGCCGGGGGATTTTGACGTCCCAGGCAAACGGAGAGACATGGTTCCTCCAGTGCGTTCTGGGTCTTACCCATGGTCTCCTCCCTAGGCAGGTGTCCTAGAGGCATGCGAATCAGATGCTCAAGCCCCTCAGCTCCTCCCTGGTGACTGAGCTCCTCACCCTAACTATAAGGGTGCGCCCTGCCACCCTGCGGAGGAAACTTATTTCAGCTGCTTGTATCCAAGTTCTTGTCCTGTGAGTCATGACCCAAAGCTCATGACTATAGGTGAGAGTAGGAAAGTAGATGACTGGTAAATTGAGAGCTTCGGCTTTTGGTTCAGCTCCTTCTTTACTGCAAAGGATCGGTACATCAACTGATCACTCTTCATCCCTCCCTCACTCCTGAACTAAACCCACAGACACCTGAACTCCTCCACCTGGGGTAAGGACTTTCCTCTAACCTTGAGATGGCAGGCCACCTTTTCCCGATGAAGCACCATGGCCTCGGACTTGAAGGTGCTGATTCTCATCCTGCCTGTGCATGCTGAAGGTCCATGTCTGATGAAGCCAACAGAACAACATCATCTGAAATAACAGATGTAGATTAAATCCTGTGGTACCTCCAGACCCCTTCCGGCCCTATACTAACTTTAGAAATCCTTTCCAAAAAATAATGATCAGAACTGGTGACAGGGGGCAGCCCTGCCGGAGTCCAACTTACACTGGGAACAAGCCTGACTTATTGCGGGATTGGCCAGAACCTCCTTTTCAGAAAAATGGGAACCTCCAATCCAGTTGCCTAGTCCAGAGGTGCTACTGCTGACCTTCAGGCGATGTTGCAGAGATGTGTCAGCTGGGACAGCCCCACCGCATCCAGAGAGTGCACAGGGTGAATCTCATCCACCCCTCATCAATGCAGAGCTGCAGATATCCTGAGTGCCTTCAGCTCGGGTGACTGGAGTCCACTCCTGCAGAACTCAGCATAGGTGTGTCAGTGGCATTCATGTCCGACAACAGCCCAAGTCCAGATCAACAGGGTTCATGTCCTTACAGCCACAGCTGCTCACGGCCATGCCGACAGCGGAGTCTGAGAACATGGAGCACTCGCTCTCTGTGTCTCCAGCGTCTCCTGGGATCTGCTCGAGGTTCTTCTGGAGGTGAGAGTTGAAAATCCCTGTGACCCGTGGTTCAGGGAGATGCTCCTGAGGATCCTCACAACAGGCTTGGTTCTGTCTGGTCTGTCCGCCCTCCTGCTCTGCCCCTGACAGCTCTCTGTACTCCAGCGTCCATGAGCGACTGAGCGACCCTCTCCTTCAGTAGGGGAAACTCCAGCACACAGTGAAAGGTGTAATCCAGCGCACAGCAGCCCGATGAGTTCTGAAGCCTGAGCTGTGTGTGGAGGTGAACCCGACTGCCTATAGATGTTCCTGTACACGCGCACAGCCTCACTCCATTACTGCCATGAAGCGAAAGTGTGTCTGATACCTGCAGCTATGACTAGAATATACACATACAAATACAGTGTGTAGATCAGGAGAATCTCAGTGTGTGTGTGTGTGTGTGTGTGTGTGTGTTCTTCAGGTGACGCACAGAGAGACTGGTGAGGTGATGGTGATGAAGGAGCTCATCCGCTTTGATGAGGAGACACAGAGGACTTTCCTCAAAGAGGTGACACACACACACACACACACACTTACACACACACACACACACACACACACACACACACACACACACACACACACACACACACTCAAGCGAATCTGAATCCAGCACTGAGCTGTAGTAGAGCTGTGAATGTGTGTCTGATGTGTGTGTATTTTGTGTGTGTGTGTGTGTGTGTGTGTGTGTGCGCAGGTGAAGGTGATGCGCTGTCTGGATCATCCTAATGTGCTGAAGTTCATCGGTGTCCTCTACAAAGACAAGAGGCTGAACTTCATCGCGGAGTACATCAAAGGAGGAACACTGAGAGACATCATCAAGAACATGGTGTGTGTGTGTGTGCGTGTGTGTGTGTGTGTGTGTGTATGTGTGTGTGTGTGTGCGCGTGTGTGTGTTGGCATATGTTGTTGACCATATACGTGTGTGTGTGTGTGTGTGTGTGCAGGACAGTAATTACCCGTGGGGGCAGAGAGTGAGCTTTGCTAAGGACATCGCCTCTGGGATGGTGAGTGTGTTTTACTCATTACCGCCCCCTGGTGGACAGACAACACAAACACACACACTTGATGTGCTCATGCAGAGTTACAGCAGATATGAGCTATATTTAAAGCAGAAACACCTCAGCATCAGGGAGACAGAGAGTGTTAGTGTGGGGGAACAGCTGCTCATGGTGATGCGTGAGTTTACATTAAACTATTTCAGTATAATAAGGGATGTTGTGTGTGACGCTTATTAGCTTTTCTCTTGGTAAAGTGTGGAATTGGCCGTAATTCTGAGGTTATTTCAGGTGTAATTGCATTAAATCACATAAAATTGGCCCCTGCAGAGCTTCTACAACACATCTGACGACACAAGACTGCAGACAAGCCGAACTCTGCTTCATTTAATGGACCCAATTTTACACACGCTGATCAGTTTAACATACAATATGTAAAGCCGAGTGTTAAATAGATGTGTGTGTGTGTGTGTGTGTGTGTGTGTGTGCCTTTATTATTGATCAGTGGTGGAGGCTGATATGACATTTAGACTGTAACAGAACTGCACTGTAGTGTTTAGAGTGAGCAGTAATCCCATTATTGTAGTTACAGCACATGCTGAAGCTCATTATTCATTAAAGATGTACAAGCCATTCTCACACTTTGTTCTTTGTGTGACTGAAATGTAGGCAATAGCTGTTTCCATCCAAAAATGTGAATTAAATTTATGTGCAAAACTGGAATAGCGCATTAAAGATGAGGGAATAAAGCTGCGTTTCCATCCAGCCAGTCAAAAATCAACAGTAAACACAGAATGCACGGCGGCAGGAGGAGCTGCGTCAGTCTGTTCTTTATTTAATGAATGACTTCACCTCAGAAGACAATACTGACAGACAATGAACGCCTGCTGATATCTGAAGCTGTGAGAGTCGGAGCACAGACGCTCTGGAGGTCATTAATAACACTAATACTGCAACAGTTCAGGCGTTTACAACGAGCAAATCAACATGTCAGGCTAGACTCACTCTGCTTTCTACAAACCTGCCATTCTGAAACAGAATACCCAGAGATTATCTCATCTCAGGCTTAAAATACTCTGAGTAAAGGGGCCGGCTCTCTGTGCTGTTACACCTGTGTGCCTGCAGATGGCAGCGTTTACCCAGCAGACACTAACTCTCTCTCTCTCTCTGTGTGTGTGTGTGTGTGTGTGTGTGTGTGACGCAGGCGTATCTGCACTCCATGAACATCATCCATCGAGACCTGAACTCACACAACTGTCTGGTCAGAGAGGTGAGCAGCGTCTCCTCCTGCTGCTGCTGCTGCTGTCTGTCTCTCTGTCTGTCTGTCTGTCTGTCTGCAGTGTGTTGTGTTGTGTTGTTCTCTGCTGTGTTGTGGTTTAGCTTGTGTTGTTCTGCTGTTCTGTTGTGTTGTGTTGTTCTGCTGTTGTTGGGTTGTGGGCAGGCAGTAGCTGTAGTGTTAGTGTGCTGTGCGCTCCTCTGGATGACCCAGGATCAGTGTTTATGGCTGTCCTCAGATTGGAGCAGGACTGATTTCTGATATCTGATCACACACTCTGAGCTCCAGTGTGTGTGTGTGTGTGTGTGTGCAGAATAAGAGTGTGGTGGTGGCAGACTTCGGGCTGTCGCGGCTGATGGTGGAGGACCGCAGTGTGGAGCGCAGGAAAGCAGACCGCAGGAAGAGGTACACGGTGGTGGGAAACCCCTACTGGATGGCCCCGGAGATGATCCACGGTGAGCCTTCATCTTCAGGATCACAGCAGTCGCCATCATCATCTTCATCATCATCATCTTCATCATCATTATCTGTTCAAAGCTTCCTCTGCGCACGCTGACGCTGAATGCTGATCTGTGTGTGTGTGTGTGTTCTTCAGGGAAGAGCTACGATGAGAAGGTGGACCTCTTCTCCTTCGGCATCATGCTGTGTGAGGTGAGGGCGTGTGAGTGTGCATTGTGTGTGTGTGTGTGTGTGTGTGTGTGTGTGTTCAGATCAGCTCTTCTTCACACTCTGCTGCTCTTCAGATCATCGGCCGGGTGAACGCTGACCCGGATTATCTGCCGCGGGCGCTGGACTTTGGGCTGAACACTGCTGTGTTTCTGGAGGAGCACTGTCCTGCTGACTGCCCTGCTGCATTCTTCCCTATAGCGGCGCTCTGCTGCGACCTGGACGCCGAGAAACGGTCAGAACACACACACACACACACACACACACACACACACACACGTGATCATCTCAGAAAAACTCATGATCACGCCATCCAACATGATTTCTGTTTAGCTCCTCCCACTGAGCATGATTTATCTGCTGCCCTCTTTATCTACTTTAGCTCCTCCCACTGCATGTGATTTTTAGCTTAGCTCCTCCCACTGCATGTGATTTTAGTCTAGCTCCTCCCACTGCATGTGATTCAGTCTAGCTCCTCCCACTGCATGTGATTTTAGTCTAGCTCCTCCCATCGATTGTAATTTTTGCTTAGCCTCTCCCATTGAACACAAATACTGGATTAATTAAAATTATTTTAAATTTGCCCCGCCCACTAGAGGGAGGAGCCTGGTGAACAACATTAAAGAACTGATCATATGTTAATGAAGCATCTGAATAATGGGACAGGTCTAGTGTCTGAGATGTTCAGTAGACCACTGATTCAACTGTGTGTGTGTGTGTGTGTGTGTGTGTGTGTGTCTCAGGCCTGCGTTCACCAAGCTGGAGTCGTGGCTGGAGGACCTGAAGATGCACCTGGAGCTGGGTCTGCATCTGGTGTCGGAGCTGGAGCTGCTCCATCAGGACTTCATGCAGAAACACACCAGCGGCGGCGGGAAAAACAGCCTGCACACACACCCCGAGCAGCCCGAGTAGAACACACACACACACACACACACACACATGACACTGACCGAAGAGACGAGGATGAGTCCATCAGATGTACACCACAGCACCGCCAGCTGGACCAGCGGGACACACACACACACACACACACACACACACACGCACACACACACACACACACTCATCAGCATCTCTTATTGTTCTGTGTGTGAGATATGAACACACAGCTCGTCTTGATTTTATGTTTAGCTGCGGTACGTCACAGGTGTGTGTGTGTGTGTGTGTGTGTTTGTTCGTCCTCTGCTATTGATTTAGCAGTTCTCCTACTAATGCTTTTCTGAAACACAGAGCAGGATCTCACGTGTACAGATGGAAACACACACACACACACACTCTTCAACAGAGCCACTATGATTTGTTTTGCACTATGTGAGGAGGCAGCCGCTGCTCCCGCCTTCAGTTATCTGTGTTTGGCTCAGAGATGGAGGAGTGTGTTTACGCTGTGAACACGAGAGAGAGGTGTGTGTCCACCAGACGCCACTGTCCTGAGCAGCAGATGCAGCACTGAACACCTGAACACAGCTGATCCCAGAGCAGCACTGCTGATGATGATTCCCTTCACTGATGTCAATATGAGTTCATAACAGAACAACAACGAGACAAGAGCTGAGAACAGTTACTCTCACCCTATACTGATCCTCTCACTGATCATGTCACTCTAGCCCCTCCCACTCAACATCATTTATTCTCAGCTCCTCCCACTGATCATATTTTAACCATAGCCCCTCCCAGTGCTCATGATTTGACTAAAGTTCTTCTCACTGCTTGTAATTTGACTGTAGTTCCACCCACAGATCCTCCCACAGCTAAGGATTTTTCTTAGCTCCTCCCACTGCTCGTAAATTAATGTAGCTCCTCCCACTGATCATCCCATTCCACATGATTTGACCATAGCTCCTCCCACTGATCATCCCATTCCACATGATTTGACCATAGCTCCTCCCACTGATCATCCAATTTTACATGACTTGACTGTAGCTCCTCCCAGTTATTATCTTATTCTTCACCTGACCATAGCTCCTCCCACTGATCACCCCGTTTCACATGATTTGACTGTAGCTCCTCCCTCTGATCATCCTATTCTTCATGATTTGACCGTAGCTCCTCCCACTGCTCATAATTCAACCACAGCTCCTCCCAATGCACATCATTTAACTATAGCTCCTCCCACTGCTCATTATTTAACAAGTTTTTCTCACTGCTCATAATTTGACTGTAGCTCTCCCCACCGATCCTCCCACTGCTAAACTTTTTACCTAAGCTCCTCCCACTGCTTGTGATTTTAATGTAGCTCCTCCCACTGATTATCCAATTCCACATGATTTGATCATAGCTCCTCCCACTGATCATCCCATTCCACATGATTTGACCATAGCTCCTCCCACTGATCATCCCATTCTTCATAATCTGACCGTAGCTCCTCCCACTATTCATCCCATTCCACATGATTTGACTCCTCCCACTGCTCATGGTTTAGGCATAGCTCCTCCCACTGCTGCCTGCTGTGCTGGGGTGTGTCTCAGTGTTCGCTGTGCTGCCTGCTGAGGGTAGTGTGCTGTGTGGTGAGCACCGCGGTGTTTAACTCAGGGTCTCTGTATCCTCCATGGCTTTACCTCTGCATTACTGCTGTGCCTTTGTGTTACGCTAGCCTTGCTAACCGCTGGACCAGCGCTCGTCACCGCTCGCCGCTCCTGCCCTGCTGTGCTCCAGGTCTCAGTGTCGGAGATGTTGGAGATGTCGGCTCTTTATTTCGGGTCTTTGCTTTGCTGTGTCGTAATGTTTTAAACTGAAGCTGTGAAAATGACTCTGCACTTTAATGGTACTGGCCGAGAGCGTGGATCCTGCGAGCAGAACACTGAATAAAGCTGATCTGCTGACCTGTGTGTGTGTGTGTGTGTGTGTGTGTGTGTGTGTGTGTTGAGCTGAACTGGAGACATTCTCCAGGGTTTTACTCAGAATCGCTGATCAATCATCAACACTTCATAGTGGAAGAGGAAATAAAGTCATCAGGGGTCTCCACAACACACTGCTGTACTCACATAATGACAAGAACATCCAGCAGAACTGAGCTGCTCTGGGTTTAACAGAGAATGAAGAGCTCAATCTGAGTCCTAGCACAACTCCATTATAACTCCTGCTGTGATCTTATAAGGCTCCAACTACACTTTAATACAGTGCATACAGCAAAAACATATAAACATCTATCACCTACCCCCCCCCCCCCCCAGCTCACACTCCCGCAGGAGCCTGCATCCCCAAACACCCCCTCATTCACACCTCCTCCTTTACAGGGAGGCGAATGACAAACCTCAGACTGAGTAAACCCTGTCATGGACAAACTCAAACAGTGCAAGTCTATTTTCACTGCAGTGTGAGTATAAAAACTGTCCCTTTACCAACACAACTGTCTAGATTATGGAGAAAGTCTATTTCTAATAATGAAATGATGGACGAAGCATGCAGTTCCCAATCAAACATGCAATCACTGCACATTCTTATTAAAATAAAACAACAAGGTCTGCAATATGGTGTCAAACTTTCACACAATACTGCCTGGCCCTTACTGCTTAATTAAGAAATCACACAGATGTTTTGCTAAGGTTGTCAATAATTTGCTTATTTTCATAAAAACCAGATGACAGGATGGACAAAGGCTTTATTGGGTGAACTAAATATGGAGGAACACTTGAAAAACAACAGCTACAACTAGACATATTAAAGGGTTTATATATACAGCTGAAGGCAGAATTATTCACCCCCCTGTTTATTTTTTTCCCATATTTCTGTTTAGCGGAGAGCAGATTTCTCCAGCACATCTCTAATCATAATAACTGTAATAACTCATCTCTAATAACTGATTTATTTTCTCTTCTGCATGATGACAGACAGTAAATAATATTAGACTAGATATTCTTCAAGACACTTCTATACAGCTTACAGTGACATGTAAAGGCTTCACTAGGGTAATTAGGGTAAAGTTATTGTATGATGATGGTTTGTTCTGGAGAATATCGCAAATAAATATAGCTTAATAATATTCACCTTAAAATGGTGTTTAAAAAAATTAAAAACTGCTTTTATTCTAGCCGAAATAAAACAAATCAGACTTTCTCCAGAAGAAAAAATATTATCAGACACACTGTGAACATTTCCTCAATCTGTTCAACATCATTTATTAAATATTTAAACAAGAAAAGAAAACTCAAAGGGTGAATAACTCTGACTTTAAGTGTATATAAGGGTTATAAACTTGTGTTTTCACTAATACTGCAAACCCCTGAGCCAGCACGCCGCCTCTTCTGTTATTAATTAGGTTTATCAATATGCAAATTAACAGGAAAATAAACAATTATTGTCCTTAAACTAAATTCACTGATGAATGTAAGTCTTTATATTGTACATGGGTTGGAGGAGTGAAGGGAATGCTGAAAGCAACTCCAGTTAAACACCTTAATAATTCTGCTTTTCATATTCAGAATAAGGTGAATAATCAGATTACTGATGTTCACACAAGTGGAGAAATACTCAGGGCTGCAGTTCTATTTCAAACACTGTGCGCTCCATTATACGGATTATACACAGGCTGTGCCTGCTGCTGGTGAAGAGTTTCCCTATTGAAGCTCTGTGTGCAGTTTATATTTGTAATTTCTGCTTTTTTCTATTATTGAATATTTGACTATGACAGGGTGGACATGAAGCTGTTTCAGACACAATATGAGGAGAACATAGGAAGCATGCGCGTGGATGTGTGCACAGCAGATGTTTAACCTCCTCTGAGGAAAGGCAGATGGGGATGCCAATGAGCACATCAGCTTAAAGAGGCATCACCACACCAGCAAACCCAAGAACACGAGCAAAAGGATCAATAATGTTCTGAAAACAAAATAAAAGTGATTAAAATTTGATCAAATAATTTGTTAAAGACAGTAAGAATATTTAAGATCTGTTTAATTTGATCTCATCTTAGACTCACTGAAGATGGCAGAGCAGTGTGTGGGCAAAATCACATCCATTCCATGACAGAGCATCATATACCTGCATGAGTGTAGAGGTTTAACCAGCTGTATTAAAACACGACAGTTATAATAATCATGTTCATATTGGACTACTGACTCAATCTTGTTGGAGATCAAAGGCACTTTATCCTGATAATGACCCACATGTATGCTCTTTGGAGCACACCGGATGTTTTGGCTCCTCCATGTGCGATTGTTTTGATGCTGCGCGTGACGTCAGAAGGGCGGGACTAAGCGTGACGTCAGCACGGCGTGGAGGCGCGTTTAAAGCGCAGAGCAGTCAGAGTGTATCGGCCAGTCAGAGAGAGTCTGCGCGCTGCTGGAGCACCGGGATATATTATACATCATCATCCAGAAGAACACACCGCCGCTGGAGCTCCAGAATCCCGCGGAGGATACAGAACACACCGGCCGGCCATGGAGAACAGCAGCCGCTACAGGAGCGCGCTCTTCGGCCACGGTGAGGAGCAGAGACGCGGTGAGTCTGGCATTCCTGCGCACACACTTAGCAGACTTACACACACACACACACACACACACACACACACACACACACACACACACACACACACACACACTGTTCAGCTCTCACTGGCTGTGCATGAGCCGAGCTGAGCACACACACACACACACAGCGGTATGGAGGATGATGGTGTGTGTGACTGCGGTACAGTGGCTTTATCCCCGCACATTCCTTCATGTTTGACGGACACTTCTCCTGACAGCCTCTCTGCACTGCTCACTGCACTAGTCTGAGTACTGGCAAGACTGTACAACAACATCAGCACTGTTTACCTGACTGAGCTGAAACTCATGGGCTGATATCAGGAGGAACACTCTCCTGAACTCAGATCAGTAAGCAGACAGTGTGAACACTGAGCCAGCTTCACACCAATATCTGTGCGCATGTCTCTGTCATCATCAGTGTGTTCAGTATTTCTGCAACCCGAGACTGACACACAGCTGATGCAGTGATGACAGACCACACACACACACACACACACACACACACACACACACACACACTCTTGTTATTATTCTCATGTCAGTCTGCACAGTGTGAGCCCCGCTCAGCTCCTCCTCCAGGATTGGTCTTTATTTTGTCAACAGTGAGCTGCAGTAGGGGATGAAGGCTCCGTCTATGTTTATCCTGATGTTTAATGTGGTGTTTATATCAGAAATGTGTGTGTGCTGTGGTCAGTAGCTCATAAGAGCGCTCTGTCACTATCAGGTGGTGATTAGCATCAGGTCTCACACTCAGCTCCTGGAGAGCCGCAGCTCTGCACAGTTTTGCTCCAGCACTACTCAAAGCTAATCAACGGCTGCTGCTAGATCAGATATGGTTGCAGCCATAAATGAACAAGAATTATTTACATTATTTAATAAATGTTGCATTTATTGTATTTAATTAAAGTCCACCCCCGCCCTAACCCTAAACCCAACCATCACAGCATGTAAAAACAGAAGATGTACTGAGTGATTTTACAGATGTAATAGCCGACCAGGTGAAAAGGAAGTGCTCTTAAATATATTAGAAATGTACCTGAAATGTAGATGACATGTTTAAAGCACAATGAGCACAAATAATGTACTTAAAGAGCTTTCTAAATGTGTTGGTTTGCATTTGAATGTATTTTTAATAAAGTACACCACAGGTACACTAGTAAACAAATATGCAGGAGCTCAAGCATACATATGCACACATCTACATATTTATGCATTTGAATGTATTCACAGAAAACACACTCATGTTGTTCTTTCGTAATGTGTGTTTCTGGATGAGAACTTTGTGAAGCTGCGCCACTCTGAGTGTGTTTAAAGTGTATGAATGTTATCTTGACTGGTTTTAGACGTAATGAAACATATTTTAAGTTCTGCACATGAGCGCGTGCTTTATCCTGTATTTCAGAATATTTTACTGCACACTAATGTTAATTGTCAATTGAAAAAGCTGAACATGACAGTTTTCAGGCATTCAGAGACGTGCAGTTATCTGTGTTTGTGTTGTACTTTTACTGCATATTTTAGTATAGTTAAAACTTAAAACACATTCTGCTTATTGATTTTGTTAGTTATTGCTGAAAGTATACAGGTCTTGTAGTGCTCTAATAAATAACACATTAATGTGAAGCTTAAAATATATTTTCTGCCGGCCTTAAAATAAACGTCCACTAAGCCTGAATAACTCTTGAACTAGTTTTAAAATGCACTTAAATTACATTTCATCTGAACTCAAAGTATAGTTCACCTGGGCTTATACTATACTTTAATTGGTTTTAAAATTCGCTAAAAATGCACTTTATCTGAACTTAAAATATCCTTTAACTGCATTTCAAGCATACTTTAAATAAAATACACTTTTAAAAGTACATTTCAGTTGTACTTAAACTATGTCCTTTTTAACACAACCAAGTATGCTACAGCATATTTAAAACAGCTTAAAGTTCATCTTAAGTAGGGCGAGGCAGTGGCGCAGTAGGTAGTGCTGTCGCCTCACAGTAAGAAGGTTGCTGGGGCGCTGGTTCGAGCCTTGGCCTAGCTCAGTTGGCGTTTCTGTGTGGAGTTTGCATGTTCTCCCTGTGTTCGCATGGGTTTTCTCTGGGTGCTCTGGTTTCCCCCACAGTCCAAACACATGTGGTACAGGTTAATTGGGTAGGCTAAATTGTCTGTGTGTGTGTGTGTGTGTGTGTGTGTGAATGTGTGTGTGGATGTTTTACAGAGATGGGTTGCGGCTGGAAGGGCATCCGCTGCGTAAAAACGTGCTGGATAAGTTGGCGGTTCATTCCCCTGTGGTGACCCCAGATTAATAAAGGGACTAAGCCGACAAGAAAATGAATGAATGAAAAAATGAATCTTAATTATATATAAAATAACAATGAATATGCTCAAAGTTGTTCCAAAATAACACCTTTAATATCCACTTAGTATTGTACAATTAAAATATGCTAATTACGTCCAAAAAGTACAACTTAAATAGACTTTCTTTTCACCTGGGAACACTAAACCCACCCGCCGCAGTACTGTAACAGTATTAATTATCGTCATACAGTGTCATAAGAATCGCTGCTATATTGCTGTGCATATCACACTTCCGGCCGGCCGCGTAGCCCATCCAGACCTAACCCTGATCCACTAATGAAGGTGTTCCAGACTCTTCCATTAGTGGATCCGCTGTGTTTGATTAGTGTCGGAGAGCTGTGGTGTGGAGCATCTCCAGGATAACTTCACTTTAACACAAGCTGTACATCACTGGGTTTGAGCCCTTCAGCTGG